GTTTGGGCCCAAACTGTTGGGGTTCAACTCCCTGCTCTTCCACTGTACCACTGGGCAGACCCGATCACCACCCTGAATCCCAGTTTCTTCAGCTGTAAATGGGGTTCACAGCAGTGCTTATCTCATAGGTTCCTTCCAAGGATAAGCTGAGCCTTGCCAAGTGTCTGGCAAGTGCTCTCTGCTAAGCTGCTCCCGCTATTTTGAAGCACCGAACAGCACGGGCTGGGTGAACACCGGCTGGGTGGAATCGCCTTGCTGCTTTGTGGTTGTTGGTCGTCGTGGCTCTTGTCTGTGCCCCTCCACACTGGGCACTCCCTGAGGGCAAGGACGGGTTTTATTCTATTTCTTGAATCCAGCTCCAAGGCTCCTGGCACCAGGTTCAGAACTGCAGTGGGCAGTGAGCGTCTCAGCAGAGAATGTCTGAGCAGAGAATGGCCGCTAGGGAGTCTCCCTACTCCCTAATCCTGCCACCCCCCCCACCAAGGGCAGCCCCTCAGGACCCTCTCACCCATAGGCCAGCCTGGGTTCCCATCTTGATGTATCAGCCTGGCACCCACCTTTGTCATGACTGTCTAGTGTATGGCAAGATTGTGTGTGTGTGTGTGTGTGAACCTGCAGGTGCCTGGCCCCACTCGTAAATGCTCTACTTCCATGGCCTTGGGACCTGGGTCCCAGTTCTTTAATGCTGACTTCAGCAAGTGAGTTCTTTAATGCTGACTTCAGGGGAGAAGGCCAGGCGGTAGGAGGCAGAATCAGAGTAGGTAGGACATTGGATCCCAGAGTCAGAAGGTCTCCATGCAAAGTGCAGTGGCGCCAAGGATTGAAATTTAGAGATCTCTCAATTCAAAGTCGATTCTGTGACCAGGGTCATTGTTCTCTCTCCTGCTGTGGGAATGGGGTGTGATGCTCAGGAGGTGGCTGATGCCTGAGAGCCCACCTGGAAATCTGGGTCCCCTTGGCAGGGCCTCTGGAACGGGGGCTCCTGGACAATCTCTCATATAGTCCAAAATACTCCTGAAGTTTGGGGCATCCCAAGTAATACGCCTAAAGTGTTAGCGATGTGTTGAGATCGCAAGACCTGGGATAGAGCACTGGGACATCTGTGCCCCAGGGTGCTGAACAAATAGTATCCTTCTCTACCTATATTATGATGTGTACAGGTTGGGAGGTAGCCATGGCTCTAGCCAGACTCCTACCTGTCACCAGCATACACACTGAATAACACATTCCCCAGAGGGAAGGGAGGACCCATGCTCCTCTTTGATCCCAGTCTCTCCATCTGAGAAATGGGTACTGAAGTAGATGACATGGAGGACCTTTCTGGCACTGTGACTCTGAGTATCTGAGCCTTAGAGGGAGAACAGGGTCTGCACGGGGCCTAAGCAACTTGCTCACAGGCCAGAAGCAGTCAACACAGGGAACCATGGAGAGGCCAGGGGCAATGACTCAGCCTGAAGTCTAGTCTTTGGCTGCAAGGGGAGCGGGTAGAGAGGTGGGGAGTTTCCTCCCCACACTGCATCCTTCTATCAGAGTGACTCCGTTTCTTGGGAAAGGCTCTCTGATCTCATTGCTTGGGTTTCAGAGAAAAAGCCCCTGTGCAGGGTCACATCTGTTGCACTCATCAGCCACAATGAAGGAACATCCTGATTGGCATTGGTGGGGCTGGTGTGTTCCTTCCTGATAGGAAGTCGAGATTCAGGCCTTGGATATAGGACAAGATAAGGGCTCAAGCATGCAGGCTGAGGGGAAGGTGGCCTGGTTTATAAGTCAGACCTGAATTTACCTGAATTTTAATGGAGGCTTACTCATTTACTTGTGTGCCTTAGGCGAGTCGCTGAACCTCTGAGTCTCTATTTTCTAAAAATGGGGATAATGATATTTCTGGTGTTATAGAGATTAAGTGAGAGACAGTGGGCATGTTGTGATACAAGCTAGAAAGTGCTGCCACTCCTCTGCCAGTCTGGCCAGGGGTGGGGCAGCAGCTGCTGAGTTCCTCTGGGCCCCCTGGCTTCCCCCCTGTAAACCCCAGGGAGCATTCTCAGCTCCAGATGGTAAGGTCCTCAAGAAAACCGCTTGTCACACTGACTCATGGGGTCAGGTGAGAGGAGCTGTCCCTCACGAGACCTTTGATGCCTGCGCCATCTGTAGGGCCAATAGGAGGCCTGAAGTCTTGCGATTCCTGGGAGGATCTGCTCTGTGTTCCCTCCCACCTGCAAGGGGCAAGGGCATGCGGGTGGGACTTCCTCACCTGTGCTGACAGCCCCTGAAGCCTTCACAGGCCTTCTCAGCCCACCAATCACCCAGGAGTGAGAGGTGAGACTTTGGGCTCAGAGAGGCCCAGGAACCCCCTTGCTCAAGGCCACATAGTAGTCGGAAGCACAGCTGGGCTTCAGCCTGAGGTCTGGAAGGAAACTTGAAATCCTAATCATGCTTTCAGGAAATCATAACCCAGCCACTGGTGAAAACAAACAGTCACCTGTAGGCAGGCTGTCTTGGGGAAAGATCAGGACAAAGTCCAGAGAGCCGGTGAGCCGGTGGCAAAGGCAAAGGCCCGGCCTGCAGAGGCGTGGCGAGCAAAGGCGCTCAGCTCCCCTTTGGGCCCAAGCAGGGGCAGGAGCCAGAACTCCATGGGATCAGCTGTCCTACTCGCCAGACTGGCTGGACTGGGGGACGGGGGCAGGGCAGAGGCCCTCCTGGCGCAGGGAGCCTTTGCTCCCCAGCCAGGGAGCTGCTGTGGTCTCTCTCTGGCATGGAAGCCTCAGCTGGACACACCTCTGGAGGCTGAATCGAACACCCCACCCGGCTCCAGACTGTGGGTCAGGAAATCAGCAGCTTCCGGATGGTAACCACCGTCCTTATCGTAATTGTTAGCATTTACGTGACACTTACTGGGTACCAGGCGCTTTACAGATACTAACTCGTGTAAGCTGCACTCGAGCCCGTGATTAAGTCCATTTTACAGGTGGGAAAGCTGAGGCACAGTGGGGAAGTGATGGCCCCAGGCCACACAGCTGGCCAGAGGTGTGCTGGCCAGGGGGGTGGGCAGAGGGGGACGGCACCCACCAGCCTGACGCGGTGAACGGTCACTATGCGGCTGGGTGGACCTTGTGTCCCCATTCACAGCAAAGGCAGCAGCTCTGCTGAGGTCACGTGATGATCTGTGGCAAAGCCAGGGGCGGGGACAAGGACTCTCAGTCCAGGAAGGCTTGGCCAGTGGGGGCAGGGCAGCAGTGGGGAGAGGGGAGCTCTGCGCTGCCCTCCCTGGTGGGTGCAGCTGACCCTGCTGGGTGACCTCTGACTCTTGTGTGCTCGGGCCTCTCTGATGGAAAAGGTTTTTTCCTGCCAGCAGGTATTGCACTGGGTTACATGCCCCTCCAGGCGGTAAGTCTTCAGAATGGAGCCTCCTGTGAGACTCTCCCTGCCAGGTCCCGCTGCCCCAGGCCCCCAAGCCTGCCTGCTCCCCAATCAGAACAGAGGGACTGGGCCGCATGGGGTTGGGGCCTACGGAAGGGGAACTTGACACTTCCAGTCTCCTGAGAACGTACAAAATAACTCGATACAGGGCTGAACCCCAGAACAATTAATCAGGACTTCCAGGACGGAGGCCCAGACACCCATAGAGATGGTGGGCCAGACCTGAGTGCAGCCAAAGTTGGGGCGCCCATTCTGAACAACTGGCAGAAGCAAGAACCTCCTCACTTTTTAGTCTGTGGCCCCATATGCCAGATAAAAGTCAGGGCCTGCCCATCTGCACGCATCTTCCTAGAAGTGTTCACTGCCCCTGTCAGTTCTGTCCCCACAGAGATGAAGACCCAATCTTGGGAGGAAGCAACCTCTCCCCTACTTCTCCATACTCCAGGTCACCCACAGGCATTGCCTGAGCGCGCGGCCTGACCTTGTCAGGTGGTCAGTGATGTCATTTGTAGGGATCAGAACCTCTTGTTGCAAGATTAAAGTTGGTTTGCGTTGGCTCTTCTAAGAAACCGCTCCTGTCTTTCCAGGGGCCTCCTTCCTGGTCTTTTTCCTGCAGGTACACTGGAAGAGCTTACTCTGAACAGGGTGCCCTAGGCTCAGGGATGCAGGATAAGTGAAACCGGTGCAGCCCCTTCCCTGAAGGAGCCATATTCTAGGAGAGGGACAAGACACACTGGGGATCAATCAGATAACCCCGAGTGCCTAGGGGAGCTCCCACACCCTCTGTTCCTCTTTGCCCCCCTGAGGTCCTGGAGACTTGATGGGACAGGGATGAGGCAGGGCCAGTCGTTGGCCTATTTTGATTCTAACACGGAGCTGGAGCCAAGCCTGGCTGCACAGATCAGGGTGACCCCTGGGAGGAAGGGACTGGGCCCTGGAGTCTGGAAGGGAAGAAGCCAGGCAAGGGCCTTGGGGGCAGAAAGCCCTGAGCTAGATGAAGGCTGGGGTGCTAGAACAATAGGAAGGGGCCTCAGGGTGAATGTGTGCGCGGGAAAGGGGGGGGAGGGCAGGCAGACTGGACAGGGCATCCCTGGCCACCTAAGAGCCCAGAGATTCTAACCGTATCAACCTTAGAGTACAAAGATCCTTTTAGTTTGCATTTTTCAGAGTCCTTCCTGCCATGTGGGTCACTGGCTGGCAAGGGCTGGAGCAGAGGGTGGGGCTGGAGGGGCCTGGAGCAGACGTGTTTGACCTGGAGAATAAGGGGGATGAAGAAAAGGGAACCCCCAAGCATGGCTCTCAGGTGGCCCAACCCGCCAGTGTGTGGAAGGGCCACCTCCTCCCTCCTCAGAGCCCTGCAGCATTTAGGAGCCTCAGCACCAGTCCCCAAGGGACTGTCAAGAGCCTCTGGTGCAGCATTCCCTAAGACGTGGCCCCCATGGTGTGAGGGGCTACGTGGACAGGGGTTCAAAGCAGAAGTGTTTGGTCCTGCACGTCTTGGAGGCATTAATAGCTGCATGTGCACAGACTCCCGGGGAGACGGGTGACTCACAAGCTTGGTGACGGCACAACCTTTTGTTTTACAGCACATCGGTGTCCTGAGGAACTGCTCCGGAAAAGGCCACTCTGGTCCAAGAGCATCACTGGACAGGTGAGGCGGCTGAGGAGGGAGGTCAGCTGTGCTGTGTCTCCTGTGTGCCCTCTGGAGCGCTGAGCTTGCTCTGGGGCGGGGGGCGCTGAGCTTGTGCCTTCTCACTCAGGCTACACCCCTCAGGTTCCCCAAGGCTGTGGCATATCCAAGGTCTAGGGTGAGGCTGGAGGGCTCCTCCCACTCCATCCACCTGCCCTCCAGGCACAAACCCAAGGGGCCCATCTCAGAGGACTCTCTCTCTCCCTCTCCCTCTCTTTTTTAGGATTTGTTTGCATTTATTTATGCATCGAAGAACTGGGGTGTGGGGGGTGAGAGGATTCATCAGAGACAGAGTGGAGAACAGAACAGGCAGATCTAGTGACATACACTGCTGAGTGGAATAGTGGGGAGACCGGAGAGGTCTGCTGTGCCATGTGGGTCCCCCCCTGCAGGGACTGAACTCATACTGCAGTCGCTGGTGATAGCTTGATAGTGCTGAGACTTTTAACTCCTTGCATCACCAGAGAGGCCCCAGGAGGGTTTTCTTAGAGACACCAAGGCCTCCCCAGTTCTACCTTTTGTGTCTGGAGCCTTGAAGGACTGTGGAGTTGCTGAGGTAGTGGGTCCTGGCATTCAGAGCTGGCTTGGGGTGCTTACCCAGAAATCCTACACCCCACCCTTTGTAAGAAGAAAAGAGGCCTGAAATAGAGGCTGGCTCAGGGCTGATGGACCTCAGGCTCCCTTTGGGTGTCTAAGCATTGAAAATGATGGGGCTCTTTGTGAGGCCTCTCCCATCCCTTCACCTCTCCTCATCCCTTCCTGTTCATTCATCCCCACGCTGACCCTCCCTCTATGCCTCCATCCACCATCCCTCGGTCCTCTCAGCCATCCGTACCTCCACCACCCATCATTCTATCCACCGCCAACCATCACTTCTTCCCTCCTTCCCCACCCATCTGCCTCCTTCCCCATCCCTCCATCCACCCACCCATCTCTCCATCTGCTCACTCCTTCATTCACTCATCCACTCACCCATCCATCCAGTCTTTCATTCAGCAACATTTGTTGACTACCTATTTTGTTTTTATAAATAACAGGCTGTCTCCTTAAGTCCACAGGGGAGAGAGTAGGTCATCATATTACAGGGCAGGGAGAGGAACACCCCTGAACCCCCAAACCTGCCTGCTCTAAATAGGTTCTGCCATCCACCTCATCAAGACAAGACATATAAGACCTTTACTGGAAAGGAACTTGAATACAATACAGAAATGACAAAGAATATAGTTTCTAAATCTAACATCTAGAGTTACCCACCCCCTCATGGGTAAAAGTCCACCCAAAAGGAATTGGCCCAAAGCAAGGCCTGAAAGCCCGCCATAAGCCTAAAGCACCTTCTGGCTGGGACCCATAGGAAAGGGTCAGAAATGGCCAGGCAAGTCTGGGAGGAAAAGAGCAACCTCAAAATCAAGATAAATGTTGCCATAGTCACCTCCCCACGGGTCTCCCGCCCACATCTGGTCTCCCGCCCACATCTGTCTCAACCAGTCCAGGGCCAAGAAACATGTCTCTGCTCCATGCTCCTCCTTCAGGTCTCCTTCCGGCTCTCCATCCTGCTTCCTTTCTCCTCAGTCTCCTCTCCAGCTTCTTCTCATTTCTGCTCAGCTCCACCCTCCCCTGGGTGAGCAGGGAATCTGGAACCTCCCCTTTTCTGGGGACCACCCCGTCACAATCCCGGTGCAGCATCATGAATTATACCAGTAATCTCTATTTATTGAGAGGCCTACTATGTGCTAGGCGTTTACCCACATTATCTGATTTCATTTCTGAGCAAATCTGCCAAATAGATTTTATTTTCCTCTTGTAGATGAGTTCAGTGGGGCTCAGAGAAGTTCAGCCACTTGTCCAAGGTCACACAGCGAGGTGTTAACAGAACTACATTCAAACCCAGGCAGGCTGATCCCAGAGACTCTTGTGGGAGCTGTACCAGTGTCCAGTGCTACTACAGGGAAGTAGAAAAGGAGGGGGGTGCCCCTAATTAACCTGCGCTGGCGGTGTGGGGGTGTCCAGGGCCTCTGTGACTGGCTGACTGCTGTGGGTTTCCTGGTGGAGGGAGGTGTTTTGAGGTAAGCACTGAAGAAAGAGTAGAAGTTCGTAAAATAATAGTTCTCATAATTTCATTGTACAAACTGATTTGGCATAAAATTATATCTTTGGTGGACTTAAACTGTAGGTGTTTAGACATGGTCAATTTACCTGCTTTGAGGTATAATCTAAAATCAGCTCCTCCCTTCTTCCTGCTGCTCATATAGCCAGCAGTGACTGTTCTGGAATTTTCCAGTAAGAATTGCTGCTATCTCCTCCCCTGGCTTTGTGGCTGTGAATACACCCTCACAGGAAAACACACAGCCCCTCCGGTGTTTACGGAAAGTGCACTCAAGAAAGGCTCCCTAACTCTTTGTCTCTCTGTTTCATTTCTTCTGCTGAGAGCCGGCCCCTCCCTCCTGCGAGTGCTGAACCGCCAGGCTGAGACGGGCGCTCTCCCTGCTCTCCCGAGGCGGCCAGCCGGTGGCCCAGACCTTCCTGGGTCCTGCCCTGAAGCTGTTCCTTTCTAGTGGCTTCACTGGCTCCCCTGTGGGAGGTCCAGGCCAGTGCCAGCCCTGGGAGTCCCGCCTGCGTCCGCTCCCTCCTGTCTATCCCAGTCCCTCAGGATCCCCAGCTACAGGCAGTCCTGACCTTTGCTCTTGTGCAGACATTTTTGTGGACACTGTTTGATCCCCACCCCTGGAGCTGGCAGACTTTCTCAGTAAAGGGCCAGGCAGCAAATGGAGGCTTTGTGGAAGCTGCCTCAGACAGCAGGCAGAGACCCGTGGGCATGGCTGTGTGCTTTCTGAGGGACATTGAAATTCAGGTGTTACAAAGTATTGCTCTTTTTACTTTTTTCCAAATTGTTTGTGAATGGAAAATCTGCTGCTAGCTCCCGAGGCCTTTACAAGACAGAGCGCTCCATCTGGTCCACAGGCCTTGCCTGGCCCACCCCTGCCGGACCTCAAGTCTCTCCATCTGAGATGAGGAGACTGAGGCTCGGTGCTCACAGTGGGGGAGGGCGGAGCTTGAGTGTAACCTCGGGACCCTTTTACTCCAACTTTGGGGTCTCCTGAGGTTTGCGGAGGTTGTGGGCACCCTAAACTTGAAGCCACCCCCCGTCATGCGGGACCTGGGTGTGTTCCCAGCCTGCTGTGCAAGGACCTGCCCATCTTTTGCTTCTGCTTCTGCCCCTGTGGCAGAAACACTTGCACTTGTGGATCAGAAGGACTTTGTCTTCCCAGATCTGGGCCAAGGAGCCCCAGAGCTGCCCACCCCAGCCCTGGTTCTGGCATCCTTTCCTCCCTTATGTGACTCTCACGTAGCCTCTGGGCCCGGCCCTATTGGCCAAGCTGCCTGCCACTCACGGGGCTGAGGGCTCCTGTTACAGCATCTTCAACTGTCGGAGACTCTTTGTCCCTGATCACAGATTATTGGGGGGCAGAACAGGCAGGGTCTCAAGGTGGGAAGGGCATCGGCAAGCGGAGATTCCTAGAAAAAGGGGAGAAAGGGAAAAGAAGGGGAGCGGGGAAGACACGGGAATGGGAGTTGGGTGCAAGTCTTCCTGCTCTGCCTTCAGCAGAGGTTTATTTTATACACTTCAAGCAGGCAGAGGGATGACTTAGCATATGGAATGGGCTGAGATCACAATCACCTTTTGGCTAAGAATAGTCTGGGATCGTTTTGACCTTTAGTTGAGATTATAACATTTTTTAAATCAGTCTATCAAGGTTAAAACAGGTACATAGATTCACAAAGTTTAAGACTAATATCACTATATTTACCACCGTGAAAATTAACCAAAATAAGGTCCCTTAAACATTATCTATTACTTAACGGCTTTCATTCTCATAGAGACATCCTGGGGGGTAAAGTAAAGTGGGGGCAGGAAGAGAAAATTTCTTGTAAATCAAATTATAGTAAAGTTCTTTGAAAAATTTGGTAGAAAGTTTAAGTGAGTTTCCTTGAAGTCTAGACAGTAAGAAACCTGATTAGCTCTGAATAGGTGACTTGGGTGAATTTCCATAGCTAAAGACTAGTTAGTAGAAAGCTTGAGTGGTTATTTAGAAACTGAATAGTAGGCTATATGAGATAGAGTGATAAGATTTGGGTTTTCCTCTGTCTGGCTGTAAGAGAGACTTTGCAGTGACAGCCATTTGTTTTTATTAATCAGCCAGTTGTTTAATGGCTTTTGACTTCAAGAGGAATTTCTCACCCTGGTGCAGTGCTTGCTTGTCAGGGGCAGGCAGGCCTTCTGAGGCTGAGGCAATCCAATTGCAAGCTGAAGGTTGCTCAGAATATTTTGATACTATGATTATACAAAAAAGGGAGGTCATAACATAAGTTAGTGTGGAAAGTCTGATTTTTCAGAACATTTCCCCTCCATCCGTACTGTGTCTGTTGACAGAGGTTGCATAGCTTGTGTCATGTAACCCCTACACGTACCCCACATACACACCCCACCCCCACGGCTTCCTGGTGAGGATGAAGTGGCTTGGGCTACCAGGCAGCTGCCTGCACCCACCCCTAGAACATGGCCTTGGGCAAGCTCCTTTGCCCCCACCCCAGTGCCTCTGATACCTGGGAACTGACCCAATACTTAGTACAATTTGTGTGGGTACCCACGAGACCAATGAGGTTGTCAGGATCTGTTGTGTCAGGGGTGCCAGTCCAGCAGCCGGAGTCTCCCTGTTGCCAGCACCTTGGCAGTGCCTGCCTAACGGAGCCACAGCCCTCCCTAGACATCCCTTTGTACCGTGTGAGGTGCTCCCTGAGGCCACACTTCACTGTGGAAAGATCGCAGGTTCTCCGGAAATCATCTCTGCTGACACGCTGTGTGACGTGGGCCAGTGACTTCACCTCTCTGGGCCTCCAGGGACCCCAGGGCTGGGATCACCCTCCCCAGGTTCCAGGTTGGCTGGCAGCCCAGAGAGGGGGGCCTTCCTAGGTGGGTGGGCAGCAGGGTGGTCCCCAGGAAAAGGGGAAGTTCCAGGTTCCCTGCCCCACCCAAGGTGGGCACACCTTCTCCCTGGGTAAGCCTCCTGTTTACGCTCGATTGAAACTGCCCTTCTTGGACACCCTCAGTCCAGCCAGGGCAGAGGATATGGGAGCCGGAAGGTGTAGAAACTCTCCCTTCCCGCCTTCTGCAGAACGGAGCAACCGGACTGCCTGCTGGCTGAGCTGCAGAAGGTCTGTTTCCACACTTCTCCAGTTTCACAAGACACAGCCTCGAGGCCGCTCGAATGTTGGAATGTAGTTAGGTGAAGTGAGGCCCTGCGCTGAGCTGGTCACTCCCTCAGGTCACTCCCGGGCATGTCATTTGCCAGGAGGAGACCTGGCCAGGCCCAAGCACAGCACATCAGAGATAGGAGAGGAAAGCACGCCTGCCTGCCCGCCTGGCCCTGCTCTGGGAGGGAATCGGTCCTCTCCTGCTGCTGTCTCATTCCACAAAACTTCATGAAGTGCTTGTGGACTGTGCCGGGAGGGGAGAGAGGCAAAACCTTTAGGTGGAGAAGGCGTGGCAGGCTTTACTGGCCAGGCCTGGGTTGGGGCCTCAGATCTCTGGTGTCCTGACATGGGGCGCGCTTCATTTCCCCACTCTGGGCTGGGGGGAGGTCCTGTGTTTTCAGACCCAGGCCTCGGCCCATGCAGCCCGAGCTCCTCAGGAAGCACCATTCCGCCCGTGTCCAGCCTTGGCTTCTATCCGCCCGTGACGGGGGCTCCCCGTCACCCAGCAGCCCTCAGCAGCCCTCCCCTTCTCGTGGGTCTTTGCTTCACATAGTGCCCACATCTGACCCACAGAAAAGCAGCTGAGGGAAACTTTCTCTAACAAAGATGTCAGGGAACTGAATTAGAGCCCCAACCCCACCCCCATCACAGAGTAACAGCTGAGCTGGCGCTTGGCAAGGAAGATAGAAGATTCTATTATGCTCAGAGGAGAGCGAGGGACCTACGTGTGGACAGGAGGGTGTGAAAGGCGAGGACTGCTTTTCACCCTTGCAGGAGGAGGAGGAGAAGCCCATGGAACCCTAACTCTCCTGCCCCCCATCCCCTCCACTCTGTGGTGAGCCCCTACCCCCGCCCCCTAAGAAGCAGTGCCTGCTTCCTCCCATCCCCCCATGCCCAGCTCTGCCCACACAGCTGTCCCAGGCCAGCTGTCCTGGCCCCAGCTGCCCGAGCTGGCTCCCTTGGGCCCACAGCCCTGAAGGCTGGCCATTGTCATTCTGGTGGCGTGGCCTCAGCGAGTGGAGAGGGAGCCAGCTTCCAGCTCCCTCTTCTGCCCTGGCCTGGGGTTCCCGTGCTCAAATGTGGTTGGTGCCTGCTGTTTCAGATGTACAAGTGTGGCACCTGGGGGGGACTGAAAAATTGGAGACACCCTGGGTGTCCAGTCAAAACATTGGCTAAAAGCTTTGTGGTAGTATCTCTCTCTGGGACTTTTACCTGGGGTCCTTGGAGTTGCTGAGCAGGCTTCATGGGACCCACAAACCCCAGAATTGCACAAGACGACCTACCTATATGTGAGTTTCCTGGGGGACTCTGATCGCCCCGCAAATTGTTCATAAGTACTGACCAATGGCACAGAATCCTACGCAATGCGTAAAACGATGCCAGTAAGAACGTGTCATCAGCACACAGATGGCATGCTGTCGAATGAAAGAAGCAGGTCACCAATTATCTGTAATAAAGGAGCCCGGCTTTATTTCAAACCATTTGCTGCACACACACACACATGCTGGAGCAGAGCTGCTAAAATGATGACAGTTGTTTTATCTCTGGGGTGAGATAAAACTTTTCTTCAGTGTGTGTTTTTCTGTTTTTGTTGGATGTTCTACAATGCGTGTTTGTTTCCCTTTGTACTACGGAGGCCAAGGGACACTCAGTTTGTCCTCTGAGAAGCCAGACTCTCCCTCTCCCCCAGGCCCCTGGCCCCAGCCTGTGGGACAAGCACAGGCCTGCCCTCTGGAACCCCAGGGCCCCTCACTCTCTTCCTGGTCTCCCACCCTGTCCATCTGGGCAATCCTCTGGCCTGAGGACCCCTGCCTGCTCCCCCTATCCAGGCCCTGCTGGCTAGCTCAGGCCTGACTCAAGCACCAAGCAGCTCAGAACCCTCAGGGTCACACTTCCGAGCTGTGTGACTTTGAGTCAGTCGTCTCAACTCTCTGGGCCGGGTTGTCATGTAACACGGGGCAGCCGTTAGGACCTACCTCATGGGGTTGCTGTGAGGGCCAGCTAGGGTGATTTGGGGCCCTCAGGTTGTCCCCCGCCGCTTTCTATCCCAGCCCAGTTCTGCCCTCTGCTGACCTACCCACCTTTTCTCTTCACCCCAGGGAGCTCCAGGACCAGCAGGATGGGCTCAGGCTGTATCAAAATCACCAAATACTTTCTTTTCCTCTTCAACTTGCTCTTCTTTGTAAGTATACGAGTGTCACCTGACCACTTTCACCAGAGACCATCCTCCTGAGCACCCCAGTGGCTGAGACCTCCAGGGCCCAGGCCTGGGATGGGGGTGGAGTATGGCTCGCGACAGACCATTCCAAATGGTACCAGTGGGGGCAGCAGGTTTCCAGGGTTCTGGCTGGCGCTCCGCCAGAGCACGAGGTTCCTCTACCCGCCTGCCCCTTTCTGGATCATCAAGGCCCAGGCCAGTCAGGGCTGGAGGTGAGCTGGAGGAAAAGAGAGGCCCCGGTATCCCCTGTCCCCTAACCCATCAACGAAGAATTGTTTGGGAGCCTCTGAAATCCTTTATGTCCTGTCTTGCCCCCCTGAAGAACAGGCCTGTAACTGTTCCGGGCCTCAGATCCCTACCCCATTGGGGGGGCTATCCCCCAAATCCCAGAGGGTGGGCAAGAGGAGGCTGGGTGGTGGACCAGGGGAGGGAGGACCATGCCTGTTTCCCAGACCCACCCTCGGGAGCTTTACCAGGGCCCCAGCCCCAGGCTGTCGGGAAGGAAACTGCCCTGGTTTTCCTAGGGCCTCAATGTTCCTCTCTGGTGTGACACAGCTAGACTCCTGCCTCAGGACAGCCAGGACAAGGGATTGTGTGTGTGTGTGTGTGTGTGCGCAGAACGTGAGTGTGTCAGACGGTGCGTGTGCACGTCTGTCTGTGGGCATGTGGAAGCGTGAGTGTGTGTCTGGCCATGTAGAATTATGTGTGTGTGTTAGAGTGAGTGTGAGTGAGTGTGTGTGTGTGTGTGTGCTTGTGTGTGGGGGAGGGTTGGGGCCCAGGCACCGGTGCTAGGCTGGGGCCTGTCCGAGGTGTTGGTTTACCCAGACCTTTAAAAAATCAGCTCGTACCATAAGATGCTTACTTTGATGTAATTTTGTTGTTCGAAATGCACACACCTTTGAATAATTTTGAGAGGAAAAGAAAGTACCTGTGAGCGTCAATGTTGGGATGCTGGGGAGCTCTGGTTTTGTTCTTTTTGTTTTCTCTGCCTTTTCTAAATTTTCTACAGTAGACATAAGTTACCTGTAGAAAAATAGGGTTCTACATTCCAAGTTCCATAGAGTAATAGAAAGTTTGGAAAGAAATGATTCTAGTAAGCATCTACTTTTCCAACTTGAACAGAACACACAGCAACTTACACGTGTGTTCCTGGCACACAGCTACAAGGCATGTGCACTCACATGCATTTGGCGTCTGTCCTGCTGTGTGTTCCTCCCTGACTCCAGCCCACCCCCTCCCCTGAGGCCTGACTCTGCTTGAACCTCCGTGGCTGCCAGCCAGGCCTGGAAGCCCCCCCTGGCATCTGGGCTTTCCCAGCTTAGTGGCTGGGTCCCTTCTGGCTGACTCAAGCTTCTGGAAAGCCGCTGTTCCTGCAGCCAGAGTCAAGCCTTCCCCAGCATGCTCGGCTCCTGGGTGCAGGCCCGGCGTCTAGAGCCAGTTGGCCAGGATGGGGCACAGGGCGTGGGAACGCTGTGGCCCCATATCTGGGATTTGTAGGCACTGGACAGGTGTCTGGGCTACAGCCTAGAAGGCTCATACAGGCACCTTATCTCCCCTCATGCAGTGGGAAGGAAGAGGTAGAGGTTTTGTGGAGAAACGGAGGGCGGTTGATGGTTCTGGCCAGAGCAGTCCTTGCTGGCCCCTTCCCCCACCCCCAGACTGCTCTCTGGAGCCAGAGACAGGAGAAGCTCCCAGCTGCAGGAGCCAAGAGTTAGGCCCTGTGCGCTAGGCCAGGATGGGGTGGGGGGTGGTAGGGTATGGAGATGGGGGGCTGTTGTTACAGGGGGGTGAGGGTGAAGGGGAGAAGTACAAGGAACAGTGTTTGTCAGTTCTCATTCACCGGAAATGTGTCTGCCATCTCTGCACTCAGACCCTGTTCTCGGCCCCGGGCCTAGCAGAAGTTCCCCGGCAGAGAGCTGTGCTTTCTGCACTCACGTGGCACTTGAGGTCCATGATCTGGGGCGGGGGCTTCAATCCAGTACTCACCCAAATGGAGGATGAAATTGCCTTTACGTTAGCACTGGGACCCACTGATGTGCCCCTAGGAGCACAGCGGAGGAGGTTCTTGACCTCGTCAGGCTGGGCAGCTAACGCTTCCTGGACTCGTGTGTGTGACCGGGGAGACGGGGTCCCGGCCGCTGGGGGAGCAGGCAGAGGCCCCGCTCCAGGGCACGGGCCCGCAGCCCTCCAGGAAGGTTTCTGGGCTTTTTTAAATACCCACGGGAAAGAGGTTCTGTCATCGGACTCGTGGTTTGGGAAAATCGCCCTGGCCTCTGTATATTCTCATCTACGCACCCCCAGAAATTACCCCGCCAATTTTCCTTGGGTCTGAAGTGACCCAGAGGCTGCTGGGCCCTGGCCATTGGCTGTGAGGGTCCCGGCACCTGGCACAGCCCTGTCGGGAGATCCTGGGGAGTCTGGAGGGTGGTAAACAGGGTGCGCCCCGAGGCCTCAGTCACGGTATATAGAGAATGAGGTGCGTGGTGCCTGTCCCAGTCTGCTAGGCCACCGGGCCCAGCCAGTGTCCTGTTCCCTCCCCCCCAACTGTCACCCACCCCGGACGACTGCATGGACAGCACCAGGGACTTCCCTCCTGGGTTCTTGAGGGGGAGCTGAGGCGTTTAGCTGGACAGTCCGGGATTTTGACCTACTTGGGATTATTTACCCAGAGGGAATTTTCTGTCCTTCCTCAAGTTCTGTTTTTGGAAGAGCTGTACTTACTCCCTGATGTCCTGCCCCGTGAGCGCTGGTGCTGAGAGGGTCAGGGGCTCTGTTGTGGGGCTGGGGGTCCAGAAGCAGACCCTCAGCCTGATGACCGGGACTTGGCCTGAGGTGTGAGCTGGAGGGCTGGGTGGGCAGGGCTCAGAACCAGACTCCCAGGTCCTGTGAAGCCTGCTTCCTCTCTCTGTGCCATCTGTGTCTCCCAGCCCAAGGGAGGACCCTCTCCTCCCCCGCCAGTGGCCTTCCTGTCCCCAGAGACTGCTTGTGGAGGCTAAGGCCCAGGTCTCATCTCGAATGGCCACCATCTGGCCTTAGACTGACCTGGATTTGAGTCTCTGAAGGGTGAATTGGGTGACCTTGTACAAGATCGGGGCCTCAGTTTCCCCATCTGTAAAATTAGAACAGAAGTCCCCATCTAACAGGACGTGAGGGAGGACAGGTGAGCTACAGGGAGACCTTGGGGGTGAGAGGTGGATTCACCCCTTCACCTTCGAGGCCACCAGCTGCTGTCTTTAAAGGGGTTTGGAGTGGGGGACAGTGAGGCACAGTCAGAAACAGCCCTGCACCATATCAAGGGTCTGCTCCTTTCGAAAGGCAAGATTCAGAAGGTGAATGTTTTGTTCATCAGGATTTTTCCTACTAATTTTGACTTCTAAAAACAATTGCTGGAAACGTTTCTTTATCTCGGTCACAGAGTGTTTGGTGTTCCCTTCCTTTTTACGCCTCAGGCGAGCACCCCACTCCCCTCCACAGGCCCTGGCTTGGGTGACGGCAGCACCAGCCCACCGCGCCCCTGGGCGGGTGTCCCCCAGGCTGTGGCCCGGCTCAGCAGCTGCTGGCCTGGCACTAAGACTATGGGGTGAGATGGGAGCCCTGTGCTGGCCATAGCGGTGGGACAGTGACAGGATGGCACCCTGAAAGCTAGAGATCTCCCAGGTGTATCCAGGCCAGCTGTCAGGCATCCCAGGGACCTCCCTGAGGGGAACCGCTGTCTTCACCAGACTGCAGGTGCAGCCTTGGGGAATTGTCAGGGCGGCTTCCGCCTGCCCAGGTGGCTCAGGTGGAGGGGAAGATGGCGGGGAACTGCTGGGCCTGAGCCGGTGCCCTGCTCCTGCATTTATAGTCGGGTTCTTGAACTCATTCACCCCCTGCACCCTCAGTGCTGAGCTCCGGGACCCGGGGACAGGGAGCAACAGGCAACCCAGCCTGCCCTCAGGCAGTGCTCAGTCTACTCAGAGACGCTCACTGCAAAGCCAGACTCAGTCAGGATGACTCAGTCAAGAAGCGCTGGCCGGTGGTCGCCAGTGAGTGGGACCCCGATAGTCTGCTTGAGGGGGTCGGGAAGGTTTCTCTAAGGTAGTGCCCAGCTCTGAAGGGCAGTGGGCTTTCAGGATAGAGGTGGTGGCGGTTTGCCCAGACCTTGTGTGGCACGCTCAGTCCCGAGCTGGGGCTGGGTGGAGGGGCCGGGCGAGGGACAGGGGCAGGAGATGGACAGGAGGGTGCGTCTGGCAGGAGGCTGCGCCCTTCCGAGCCGTAGGCTTGGCTTGACCACCTGGCCACGGGGTGGGGAAATGGACACGTGGCTCAGCTGTCCGGTTGCTGGTTTTTCTGGGAGCAGGCTGAAGCCTGAAGCTACCTCGATATCCCCGGGCTGGGGAGGGCTAAAGTGTCTCCCCTGGGTCTCCCTGGCCTGGGAGGGGCATCGAGACAGTCACTCCTCACCCTCCTTTAACTGGCCCCCCATTAACTGCCTGCTTCTCCTTCCAGATCCTGGGTGCCGTGATCCTGGGCTTTGGGGTATGGATCCTGGCCGACAAAAGCAGCTTCGTCGCCATCCTGCGTAAGGGCCCCTTCGACCCCCTCATCCCCTGCAGGCTCTGTGGGGCCAGACTGCTCCTCCCACAGTGCTCTGGCCTCCAAGTCAAATTGGTCACTGTTCCAGCTGGCCTTGGGGCCTCCACTGAGTCCTGCTGCTGACCGCCCCCCATGGAGCCCTCTGCAGAAGATTCTGGAAGGAATTTCTTCTCTGTCCCCAAACGAGGCTGAAGAACATTGGGGGGTGAGGGGGGCTAGTTCTTCCATCCCAGCCCCTTCCCTTAGCGCTGACCTTGAGAAAACCTCTTTATTCTTGGTCCCTCCATTTGTCAGTTCGGCAAGGAGTTCGGCAAGGAGGGGATCCCTTGGCTCTCAGTTCTGAGAGCTGTAGGGAGGGGCCAGCCCAAGGGCCGGGTGGGCACTGAAGTTCCTCCAAGGCACCTGCGAGGTGAGGGGTCAGGCCTGGGTCCTGCCACTGGTGGCTGCCAGGGGTCAGGCATTTGCATACCTGAATTGTCTTACGACCAATAGCAACCTGTGGCAGTCACATCTCTGCCTTACAAATAGGGACATGAGGCCCAGAGAGGCAGGCGAGGCCCTTGCTCAGGCCCACGCAGCGGCTCAGCGGTAGGGGGAGACTGATGCGAGCTGCACAAGGCAGGGAGCACCGCACCAAGACGCCCCTTCTCTTCAGAAGCAGGAGGAAAGAAGCCCATGCTGCTGGCTATGAGCGTTTTAGGGTCTATCACCATCTCCAGGAAGCCTGCCGGGCTTGCCACATGGCTTCTCAGGGACGCCCTGAGAGAGAAGGGAGGTGCAGTGGAGGGTCCCAAGTTGCACGGGGTTGCCACCCCCGTCAGTGAATGCGTCCTTGGCTCACCTCACCTCTGGGCAGCTGCCTCACAGTGCAGGTTAGTCTCAGGTTTGGCAGCTGCTTGACTTCAGTGAAACAGAGCCAGGCCAGGATGGGGGCTGGAGAGGCTACCCTGCCTCCTGGGAACCAGGGTCCAGCCTCCCTTAGGCCTGAAGGCATCAGCCACATCCACTGTAGCCCAGGGCTGGCGGTGCTGCCTTCTGCTAGGGGGCAGCAGCTGCACCCCCATTCTGCCTCAGCCAGGTGCCCAAGTTCCCCACAGCCTCCCAACATGGGGCACACCCTCCTGAGCCCTGACAACACCCAGGCGTCCCTTTCTGGGGTAGGGCCCACAGCCAGAAGGCACTGCTCCCAGGGCAAAGTCTCAAGGCCAGGCCTGCCCACCCACTCTTCTGCCTTCTGCACTGAGCTCCATGGCTCCAGTGACCTCCTGCTGCTCCTCCCACCGCCTCCACATTCAGATCTGAGAACCCCAAGTTGGCTAGACTTCAGAGGGCCCCCAGATGCACCAGTGGTGCTTTTTGCAGGCCCCTCCCCGAGGAATCTGAGCTCACTGGTGTGGGCAGGCTCTGGAGCATATGGTTTTGAAAATGTCCCCGGGTCCTCAGGGGCTCCCCAGGACTATAGGTTCAGATCACCCAGACGCCAGCTCGTCACTCTGCCCTCTCTGTATGGAGGCTCAGGGGAAACCTCGCTGAGGGTCACCGGCAAGGGAGCGCTGGAGCTGGAGTCAGGGCTCTGAGCTAGTGCCCGCTGGACGACATGGCACGGCCCCTCTTGCCCGACTGAGTCTTCACTGTGCATCCACGGGGCGCTGTGGTGGGGGGCAGGGAGGGGAACGGACACAGCCAGCCGTGGGGAACTGGAGTGTGAACCAGTGACCCGGCCCTGAGCCCGCAGTAGGGCTCTGTGGCCTGTCGTGTGTCCACACCTCAGAAGAAGCAAGCGTGTTGGCAGAGAGCACAGGTTCTGGACTGCCAGGTGTGGTGCCTGGCTGTGTGATGTTGGGCTGCTTCCTGCACCTCTCTGTGCTTCCTCCCCTGTCAGTGGGGATGCAGCGAGAGGAAGCCCCTTGAGGTGGTTCTGAGAAGGCAGACAGTTAATATCTGAAAAGAGTTTGGAAGCGCTCTTGGTGAATAGTCGGCACTACCTGGGTGATCGTGACATATAGCTATAACCCCCCAATCCTCGGGCTAGCTTAAAGAAGTAGGAGACAGAAGTAGACGCCAGAAAATAGCTTGCCCAGGGCCAGAGCTGGGATCAGAACCCACTTCGCACAGTTCCTGGTGGCTTTCAGTCTGGGCACTGCCCTCCTCACTGCTACCTGCTGACCCAGTGAGGCTAGGAGATCTGCACTGTGGGTGGTGGGTGGGCTTGTCCCCTTATATCAGGTTTCTCAGGTCTGGGTCAGTGACTGGGGTGACCATGGGACTGGCACTGATGAAGTGGGGGACCCAGCAGCTTGGTTGGCCTCCCAGGGGAAGACCCTGGTGGGGGTCTCAGCCCCAGGGCCTGCCCTGCTGGGCACCTTGGCAGTCAGCTTAGCTCCTGGGGCCCTTAAAGGCAAATCAGCACCCTCTTCGGGCTGCTGTGGAACTTCGGTAAAGGGTCTCGTTTGGGGCTGGCACACAGCAGATTGCCAGGAAATGCCAGCTTTCTTTCTGAGGGCGTAGCCACTGGAAGGACTTGTTGGACCCCAAAGCTAGGAAGTTTAGGAAAGTGAAATCTGGCAGCCTCACCCTGCCATGTTGATTGCTGAGAGCCAGACCCAGGGCCTGGAATGAAAGGTGGGCCCAGGGCCAGGAGGGCTCATGCTTACCCCAGTGGAAGCTCTGCCTGGCTAACTCAGGGTTCCTGGGAGGAACTGGGTGGGGCAACTCATCCCTGGTGCCCAGAGAGTGGGATGAGCTGACCGGGTTGCTTCCTGAGCTCTAGAACATTCTGTCTGACCTGGATCACATCCTGCTCTGCACCCATACTTCGGCGATCTGAAGATGGCTAACGCCCCCTCTGGCTGGGAGGGGGCCTCAGCTTCTCTGAGCTTTGGGCTTCTTGGCAAAGGCTGGTCTTTGCCTGGCAGGAGTACAACCCAGGGGTGAGCTGCCCACCAGCACCCTGAAAGGGTCTCCTGTCATCGGGCTCTGTCTCCCTCTCAAGCATCATCATCTTCAAACTTCTTTCCCACACTGGTCCACTCTTTCTCTAAGACCCCCAAGGAGGCCTCCCTGGTGACGCAAAGGGGTTAAGTCATAGCACTATGAAGCTGTCTGCAGCCACTGCAGCATGAGTTCAATCCCCGGCTAGGGAGGTGACCCACATGGCGCAGCAGACCTCTCCTGTCTCCCGTCTGCTCTCCTCAGCAGTGTATTTCAGTAGATCCTGTTCTGCTCCCCGCTTTGTCTCTGGTGGATCCTCTCACTTCCTCCACCCCCTCACCTTTGGCCTATACCACAGCTCTTGTATGCATAAAGAAATAAATCTTTAAAATAAGACCCCATGGATGCCTGAAGCCAAGAGTGGTACCAAACTCCATAGATAATGTACTTTTACCAACACTGACTTACCTATGAAAATGTCCTAATTCATATATTAGGTACAGTAAGAGGTCGACAACAATGACAGAAAAAAGCAGTCATAATAATATGCTCTCATAAAGGTGAGGTGACTGTCCTCTCTGTCAAAATGGCTTGCTGCATGGAATATTTCAGACCTCACTTTGCCTGCAGATAAAAGAAAGGTCCGAAAGTGAAGCCAAGAATAGGGGGGGCTATTGCACACCAGCTTACTTTGCACCTGCTGTTCCAGCCACTTGAATGCTTTTCTCTCTGACCTCCACCTGGCTGACTTCTCCATCATATCTCAGCGCAGCTGTCTCCTACTCAGACCAGCCCCCTCAGTCCTCCCAGCCACCCCATCCATGACCTCTCCTAGAGTTCCAGATCCCAGGGGTGGGCCTTCGTATCTTCAGGGTCCTTATCACCACCCGAACATCTGAATTGTTTACTTATCCCCGCCTTCACCCTGCCAAGCGATAGCTCCTCTGCCCAACTCAAGTATCTCCAGCAGCCAGCATGGTGTCTGGCCCATGCTGGGTATCTGGTAAGATATCTGTTGGCCCAATAAATGAACAAGTGTCACGCCTGTGTCACTATGTGCATCCTGAGCCTCCTGGAAGAAGCAGGGCGTTGGAGGTCTGCAGAGCATCCAGGGATGGCCCTTGCCAGTGCTGCTCTCTGGGCCTCAGTTTCCCTCTCCGTGCACTGGGCTGTTCTAGTGCCTACTGGGCAGAGCTGTGTTAGAGCTAGTGATACTGTGTGGCAAGCGCGGCTGGACAAGCTGGAAGGTGAGGCCCTCGGAGTCTGTCCAGCAGCACCTGGCTGTGCTGGACACTCCTCGGGGCTGGGGTTCAGCGGGGAGCAGAGACTGCCCTTGTGCAGCTCATGTTCTTGGGGTGCAGATAATGAGCAAATTAAAGCCCTGGTATGTGCTAAGGAAAAACAAAGAAGCAGGGGTGGGGTTGGGTTAGGTGGGGGTGGGTGGCCATCCAGGGGAGTGGGTGGCATCCAGCTTCCCCAGGGGGTGAGGCGGCAGGTTCCTGGCTGGGGGGCTGCGCCCAGCACCTGAGTCCACTTGTGGGCGCCCTCTTGGAAACTTGGCCCCTCGCCGGTGGTGATTTTGCGCCTAATGAGAGCAGAGCCACCGGGCGGCACGGACACCCCCTCTCTCCTCCCCAGAGGCCTCCAACTCGCTGAATGTGGGGGCCTACATCTTCATCGCCGTGGGCGCCGTCACCATGTTCATGGGCTTCCTGGGCTGCATCGGCGCCGTCAGGGAGGTCCGCTGCCTGCTGGGGCTGGTGAGTGCACCCTCTGCGTGTGCGTGTGCCGGGCCCAGGCTGGGGGGCACCGGGGTGAGTGGGATGGTGCCCTGGTTGGAGGGGTGCCCGGCTGACTCTGCCTTCTTTGTGTCTCCAGTACTTTACCTTCCTCCTCCTGATCCTCATCGCCCAGGTGGCTGCTGGGGTGACTTTCTACTTTAACATGGGCGAGGTAAGACCCTCCCCCTTGCTGGGCCAGCCAGCAGGGAGTGATTTCCCCAGTCAGCAGGGGTGGGGTAGACAAGAGGCCCTTTAATTGTCACCGACACCCCAGTCAGTGCCGGACAGCACCCTGTTCCCTGTGATCAAATGGGGGGTCTTTGGAGGGCACAGGAGTGGGGGAGTGGAGGGGTGGAGTCGCTGCTGACCTGGATTCTGCTCTGCCCACTGCTACCCAGCTGTGTGGCCCAGGGAAGCTGCTCGTCTCTCTGTGCCTGTTTCACCATCTGCAAACTGAGGACAATAATAAAATTGAGCTCTCAGGGTCATTCTCAGGATCAGTGAGATTAGCTGAGTAAAATACTCGACACAGTACCATGAGGGCTCAGCTCTTGTGTGCCGTTCTCCTTATATTAAGGCACCTTAGTCAGTCAGTATTAAACGGCAGTAGCCGTTCATCTACACATGAGGCCCAGGGGAGAGACTGTCCATAAACATCAGTTCTGTGTCAGGGAAAAGTGTTCAGCATGAAGGAGACTGTTGGTGGCTTGAACTTAACAGACATTTGTGGTTGCCTGCACAGCGTGGGGTTGGAGTGCAGAGGCTGGGTGAGGCTGTCCAGCATGCTCATGGTGCCATTCCTACTGCACGCCCTCCCTCATGGTCACAAGGTGGCTGCCACAGCACCACGCCCAGGCTCCATGATGCTGCTGGGGCTAGGAGAGGGGTGGGCATTGTTGGCACAGGTATTTCGTCAGAGAAGCAAGTTTTCTCCATCGGTCTCCTCCAGACTGCACTACAAAGGTAGCTGTGGCTTCAAGGGACGCTGAGGATGGGAGTGTCCAGCTTCCAGATGCTAAAGACAGAGGCACAAGGGGGAGTGGAGCCAGTTGATTAAGATCGTCACATTTATCACTCCGGGAGCACCTGCGATGTGCGTGGGACATCTGAGCGAGTTGGCCTCAGATCACAGAGTTGCCAAGTGGCAAAGCCAGGACTTGAACCCAGGCAGCCTGGCTTCCTACCTGAATCTACTTTATTATATATAATGCACAGCCAACCTGTTTCTTAGAGTTGCAGCTGGCTTCCAATATAGGCACAGGGTAGCTAAAATTAGAATGAGAGAGATTAGAATGCAGAGAGAAAGAGGAAGGTCACTGTCCCTGAAGCCAATGGTAGAAATACTTGTGGCAGCTGAGGGCTAACCTAAAGACTGAGCTTCCTGGTAGCCAGGGCAAAAGGGGAAATAGAAATAGTGGTTCCAGTCAATGAAAGGAAATTTGTTTGGCTCTGAGCAGGAAGCCAGAGCTTAGGGGAGAGAAACTCCTTTCCCAGTGGAAGGGTTGTGCAATCAGATATCCTCTCTTCTGCCCTGGGTTACCTGGGGCTTCTCTGGGGCTTCTCTGGGGCCCAGCCAGTGGCTCTTAGAATCAGGGTGGATAGTAACAGTCTTGGGGAGCTGCCTCCTAGGAACCAGCATCTGGTCAACTCTGCAAATCTGGGTTCTTGGCCAGCAAGCGTTTCCCCACCTCTCAGTAACAATGATGCACCCATGTGATGGACACCAGCCACATGCCAAGAGCTGGGCCAGAAGCTTGATACACAGTTTTGGTTAACATTTTGCAGCTAAAGAAACCAAGGTTCAGAAAAGCAAAGGGCCTTGACAGGATCACGCGCAGCTCAAATGCTGCAGAGGGGAGATTTCCAGCGGTCCTCTCCCAAGGTCCAAGTTTCGTCTGCACCTCCTCCCTGCCCTGGATCTGGGGTCCTCTCCGCTTGGCAGGCAGCAGGCGCTGGGCCTCAGCAGAGTCCCACAGCCCCAGGGCAGTGCTCGCCCAGAGAACCAGCTCTCCTGACTGGTTGACTCTCTCCCCTGCCCTTCTGGGTTCCTCCTCTGCTCCCCTTCGAGGCTCCACCTCTGGCACCCTGGCCCCAGCCCCCTCTCCTTGGCCGCCTCCTTTTCTGGAAGGCAGGGGGGAAGTTTCCTGGCTTTGCTGGGGAAGTTCTGGTGCCATGCTACCGCCAAGAGTTGGAATGAACAATTTATTTTTTCTTTCCCGTACATTGTAAATCCCTGTGGGAGACTAAACATGCCCTGAGTGGTGTTTATCCCTGCAGAGGAGGCCCAGCTGGGGAAGCGGGAAGGACTTGTCTGTGCCAGAAGGAAGAAGGCCTTTTGAAAACCAAAGACTGCCCTTTTCCCACTCTCCCAGCCTCCTGGGCAGGGGGGAGGGACTGAGCCTGGGGCTCCCCCAGCTGGACTCCAGGGCTACAATCTGGCCTTCCTGTCCCACAGTTTTCCTCAGCCAGTTTCCAGGGCTGCTGGGCCAAGCTTTGGATTCTCAGGTTGTAAACTGAAGAGAAGAAATCTACCTGGTCCCCACTCCCATGCAGGGCAGCCCTGAGTACCACAGCAAAGCTGTAAAATACAGAGCCGAGGGCTTGACTCCAGACAGAACTGTCCACGCTGGAACCTGCACTCTGTGACCCCCGCAACTTGTACTCTGTGACCCCCACAAGTGGCTCAGCCTCTGTGTCTCCTTTGACCCTACAGGTCCACTGTCCCTTATTGGCAATTCTGAAACCCAAAAACACTTTGAAAACCAAAAATAGCTCCTGCAACTTATCTTTGTGATCAAATCAGATGGACACCATGGAGGTATCCCAGGGAATATGTGTGGGGGAGAGGGCGGGTGTGCCACTTCCTGTCCCACCAGCCCCTTTTTTAAAAGCTGCATGTTTCTCAGCACTGGTGCACGTGGCCCGGAGCTGTGGTGGGGATGAAGAGCACCCGCCCATTGCAAAGGCCAGGGCAGATGTTTACTGTCACAGGTGCAAGTGTTTATTCCGGTCTCCACTGTTAACGTCATTACTGCCTCAGAAGGGCTCCTCAGTGCCGTCAGAGTTTGCATTAGTATCAAAGTTTGTGTTAGCCTCTGAGTTTGTTAGTGAGGGCTATGGCAAGTAGAGCTTGGTTGTGAACTTAAGATCTCTCTGGCTGTTTCAACACCTGATTCTTCATCCAACCCCCCCTCCCCTTATAGGTATAACCCAGGTTGAAAATGCAGTGGCCCTGTGTTCTAGAACAGACTGATTGTTGTGTGTCTTGGACAAGTTCCCCAGCCTCTCTGTGCCTCAGGTGACTTCTTGGGCCGTTCCCAGTTGACACACTGGGGTTTTGACTTGCTCTTGCCAGGCAATGGGGGTATGAAAGAGGGTAAAGAGGAAGAAAGTGAATGACCACTGTTTCTTCTGAAACCTGCTAGATGTCAGCCTTGACTTTGGCCTTGGTGCTCAATCACTAAACAGCCTGAATGAGCGAGGCTACTGACTGAGGCTGAGAGGTTCTGTCAAGGCTGGAACAGAAGGCTGGGGCTGAAAGCTTGGAGGGAAAGGGGCCTGGGCTGCAGCTGGCAAGGGAGGGTGGCATTGGTTAGGCCTGATAGCTGAATGCCCCCCAGAGAGACTGGCTAAGAGAACTGTAATTGCCTTTGTCCTCCTTCCCTGTCCCTCCCAAGAAGCCTGAAATGGCCAGCAGAGCCAGCCTAATGGCGCAGGTGGTAAAACAGGTTTCTCCAGAACAATGCTGTTCTGCCAGATGGAAACTTTGACCCCTGAATTGGGTTTCTCCTAGCCTGGGGGAGGCAGCTGGAGCCACCAGGGGAAGGTGGCCTTGATCTTCCCTCTGGGTAGGAAGCATCAATCTGTCCTGAGAAGGGATCCTGGAGCCTAATGGGAGGAGACCCTCTTGTTCTTTTTTTTTTTTTAAAAGATTTACTTATTTGGGCCCTCCCTGGTGGCGCAGCAGCTTAAAGCACAGCACTAAGAAACTAAAGCCACTTCCGCATGAGTTCGATTCCTGCCTACCCTAGAGGTGACCACATGGTGTGGCAGACCTCTCCTGACCCGCCCGCTGCTCCCCTCAGCAGTGTATTTCAGTCAGTCAGCCTGTTCTGCTCCCCACTCTGTCTCTGCTGAATCCTTTCACTGCCCCTGCACCTCTGACCTGCACCCCAGTTCTGTATGCATAAACAAATAAATCAAAAGACAGAGTGGGGAGAGAACAGGCAGATCATTGAAGTACACTGCTGGAGACCCTCTTGTTCTTGCTGGCTGCATGGGTGGCCCCATGGCTGGAGGTGGCACCGGGCCCAGGCCTGCCCCCATGGAGCTTACCTGGGTGGCTGGGGGACATGTTGTTCACCCCCCGTTGAGTGCTGGGTCACTAGTTTTGCGATTGCAGCCAGGACTTAGGGGCAGACTTGGGTGGTTGCTAAGTGGACAGGGCAAATGTGGAAGAAGTCACCCAGTCCACACCCAGTCGCCATGGCAGGGGTGTCATTAACCGTCAGGGTGCAGGATGACGCCTCGGACCTGCTCTCTGTGGCAGCAAGGTGCTTGGCAACACTTCACATGGGATCCTAGGGAGAGGCCGGGCCCAAGGCACTGCATTCTGGGAGCCTGTTTGCTGCATTCACGTAACAAGCAAGGAGGGAGGCCAGGACACGCCTCCACGGAGTGGTCGAGGGTGCCCAGAAACTGTTGCTGGAGGGGAGGGCAAAGGGGTGCGTAGTCTGGTCTCTAAGACAGTGAGGGTGTTTGTCTTGGGAGAGGTGTTTGGATGTTTTCAGGATGGCAACAGCTGGGACTTGGAAGGGAGGGGGAGAATGGAAAAATGACAGCCCTGCGTCAAAGCCACTTGGGCTCAGCTGCATTGAATCACATCTATCGAGACCCCCCAACCCTGTAGTGTGCCCAGTTGTGTGATACTGAGCTCCCCGTCACAGGGAGCATTTAAATCCAGCCTGGAAAAATCTGGGAAGGATTCTTGCCTCTGGGCGATGGGCTGGACTCTCCTACCTCTCTGTGAAGTCACAGCACAAGGAGGGGGAGAAACACAGCACTGGGGGGAGACCCCGAGGGCACAGTGGAGGCGGTGGGTGGGTCGTTTGCTGTGATCTGGACTTCAGGAGCGGCACACATCAGCTCCCGTGCGACCCTGCGAGTTGTTCTGGCTCTTCAGGTCTCTGTTCTTCTCTGGAAAACGGGGAGGATAGTGCAGGACAGGACCAGGGCTGGGCCCATGCCCCGGAGGCCCCCACGCTGGAAGGAGCCCGGCTTGCTTTGATGTGCTGCCGTTACTGTTTAGAAACGCTTCATCATTTTCAAATAAGTGGCCCTGCGCTTTCCTTTTGCACTGGACTGTAAGTTACGCAGCTGGGCCTGGGCAGGACTCCTTCTCGCTCGGGACAGCAGTGCAGCTGCAACTGGCCGCGGGCGCCGGCCCAGCTTGCCAGAGGCTGCCCCCAGGATTCTGAGCCCTCAGTCCTGGCCGTGCCCTCCCCCCGGGCTACCTTCTCAGGCAGGCAGTGTCCAGCAGAGCCCCATGCGGCCCCAGCAGCTACGGTCTCATCCCACCCAATGAGCTGAAAGAAGACTCATGCGACCTTGGCTCACAGGCCCACCCCGACCCACCTGTGCCCAGGGTGTGGATGGCCCTGAGTGGCAGCTTGGGTCACTGCCTTCCCGTGGCGCGGAGAAGGGCTTCCCACCCACTGGGAGAGCCTGGGCGGTGGTTACCTTTTTTTTTTTTTTTTAATAATATGTTTATTTTCCCATCATTTTGTACATTTTTCCATCTCAGTTGTAATCCCCATGGGCTTCCCATTGCCAAATCACTCATGTGCCATCACCGTAGTCCAGTGCACTTCCCTCCCCCCACTGTTTTTGATCCCACTCCCCACTCCGGGGGGTGGTCACCTTTAAGGAAAAACTGCTCATTCAGGAGGAAGGGAGAGTGGATGAGGGCAGGCAGAAATCACAGAGGGCCCAGCGGGATGAGGTGAGGTGAACTTCTACTCTCCCTCCCTGTTCTGTCTTGCCTAAGGACCTTCCTGGTTGCCAGGTGGCCTCCCAGGCTCCCAACTCAGCCTCCTGGGCCCAAGGTCCCCAGGCGCCCACTGCAAGCTGAAGCACCACCCCTGTGCCACGGTCCCCTGGCCTGACTGTAAGCCTCAGTCACGCCCTGGGCTGGAGGATGACGGTGTTTCCCATGGCAACTACCAACTTCTACCACCTTCTTATTTCAAGGGCCCTGAACAAGGAAGTCTGGGCTGCTGTGACAGCCCCTTGGGGTTGGGGTTGGGGAACAGGAAGGATGTGGTACAGGGGTTGGCCCTGCAAATGCCTCTGAGGCAGATGCCTCTGGGGACCCTCCTGCTTTCCACATTCCCCCTTCTTTCCATCCCTCCCCTCCTTTCCATACCCCTGGGACCATTTACTCACTGGGGAACAGAGGAGGAGCTGAGATGGTTGGGGCATAAAGACCCAAGGTTTGTAGACAGAGTCCTAGCTCTGTGGCATCAGGAAATCATTTGGCTTCTCTGGTTCTGCCTTAAAACTGCTCTGATCTCTGAGATGGAAAAATGCACAAAAATATGTAAAAATAAGCTAATATAATAATAATTTAAAAAAAACCCTGCTCTGATCTGCTTCAAGGTATGGTTCCATGGTTTAAAAAGCTTAGGTCTAAATCTGGAATCAGATACGCCTGGGTCTTTTCTCCATTTGGCTATATGTTGGCTGTGTGACCTGGGACAAGTTAATTAACCCCTCTGGGCTTTGTTGTCTCCATCTTTAAAATACAAGAACGATCCCTAGGCCATAGGTCTGCTCTGAGGATTAAAATCTGATAATGCCTTGAAAGTGACAACCATTGCTCTAATTGTGTTGTCACGGACAGAGAACTCGATAAACGTTGAGGTCTGTGCAAATCAGAAGGAAACATATCCTGTTAGGGTTTCATCAGACAGAGAGCAGGAGCTGGCGGGGTGGCTTCCCAGGTTCAGAAGGGCAGAGGGAGGAGCCAGAGCAGCAGATCCGAAAACAAATGAGCATGTGATAACACTGTGAGGAGAAATACAGCAGTTCTTTCGCAATATGAGGGCCTGGGAAGGGTTGGGGGAGCGATGGGGGGTACAGAAGGGAAGGGGGTGTTTAGGGAGGTGCAAGAAGTTCTTCCTGAGGCGGTGACACTTACACGGCCCTGAAGGAAATGGAAGAATGAGTTATGTCAATGTTTGGGGGAAGAAGATTCCAGGTGGTGAGAACAGCAAGGGCCAAGGCCCTGTGGCAGGCGTGAGGCTTAGACAGCAAGAGCCCTGCGTAGCTGAAGCAGAGGAAACAAGAGCAGAGCGGGGTCCGGAGGGCTGCAGGGCCTCATGGGCCGGTGAGAGGCCGCGCCACGGGACCCCCCTTTGCAGGCCCATGTAGCCATTGAGGGCTGAGGAGACCTTGGCGCAGCGTGGGGACCAGCATGGGGCTGGTTGGAAAGTAGTTGGAATACACCATGAAATGCTTTCACGCTTGAGCGTGTCCCCTGGGTGCTGGTGGGGTGGGGGGATAGAAGCAGGAGGGAGCAGAGGGACACGCAGGTTGAAGGATTCTGACCTCCGTGCTTGCTGTCCCCTCTGCAGCTGAAGCAGGAGATGGGTGACATCGTAGGCCAACTCATTCAGAGGTACCAGGATGGTCATGAGGACAACCTGCAGGAGACGTGGGACTACGTGCAGGCGCAGGTAAAAGGGGGGGAGGGGCCGTGTGAGCCTCTGGGCCTGTGGGTGTCAGCGTGGTGGGGTCTGCGTGGGGGCAGCCACCAGTTCCTGGATGAGCCTGAGAGATCAGGGCGGCAAGTTCGCTCATGAGTGTGCACCTGTCGGGGTGGGGGCTCCTCAGTCGTCTCCCCGCCTGGCACCCCCGCCACCACCACAGACCCTGGCTCTGGGGCCCGGGGTCTTGGCGGCTGTTCCGTGGCTCTCTGTGCTCCCGTGGGTGGCTGGGGAGAGGGGACAGCTGTCCGCTCTCCTCTCAAGCCAGGCTGAGGGTGTGGGGAGCTCACCCAATGGGGTGCGACGGCCGCTTGCTGACTGGAGTCTGAGGAGGTCACCCCAGGGAGGTGCCTGGGGAGCCTTCTGGGGGAGGTCGTATCTGTGCACATCTTGGGTGTTGGTGACGCCAGGTGTAGGGTGGGGTGCTCCTTCATGTTTGGTTGGCCGACGGGGGTGGCACTCGCGACAGTGGGCCCCGGGGACTGGGGGTGTCGAGTGCACTCTGCGAGGTTCACCCAGCGAGGCACTGCCCATCGCCAGGCGTCTCCTAGCCCATCCTCGTCATCTGTGACACGCGATTCTATGTAAAGATCATCAAGATGACTTGGGGACGTGGACAGAATTGGAGGTGTCCGGGGAGTATGACCACGGGCAAATGTGGACAGTTGAGTGTGTGTGTTCTACCTCAAACTGAGAGAGACCAGTTGACTGACTAAATGATTGACAGCTTAGTCGACAGAACTGCTGACTGCCAGTCACACTGACTTCAGTGAGATGACTGATGGGCGACCAGTGACTGACTGACTTGCTGAGTGACAGAACAACGGACTAGCCGATTGACTGACAGGTCCGTTTCCCAGTTGGCCTTGATGTGAATCCATTGCCACACACAGAAATCAGCCCAGTGACCACTCCTGGCCACCCCTTTTGATGGTCCTGCATCCCCTGGGCTGTCACCTCCTCTTCTGTGTGAGCTGGCTACTTAGGACCTGCTGGCACGGGTTGTCGATGACTTGTGCGTGCTCGACACGCCCCCTGCTGGCCACTGGGTGCACAGCCTGGGACTCCCCACCCTGAGCTGGGCAGGAAGCCCTGGGAGTGGACAGCCTGGGACAGTGGCAGCTGCTCACCCTTATAGACCCTGGGACAGTGATTGTTATCCCCCATTCTCCAGGTGAGCTAACAGGGGCTCAGAGAAGTGCCAGGCTTACGTATGCCATGGGCAGGACCAGGTTTGGAAAGGAGTCTTTTCCCCCCCATGTAACCTCCCACCTCTGGGGGGATTTTCTGGCACCCCAACTCCTGAGATCCTGAACTATCAGAAATCCAGCCCAGATGTGATCCCAAACCCCTCAAGGTCCCCTTCACGAGCTCACAGAGTCTAAAAGTCTGCACCTCTGGAACAAGAGCGTTTTCCACTCTACTGAGGCAGGCTGGGCCGTGTTTCCTTTTTCACCCTGGCAACCAGCAAACTCAGGGCCATATCTCAACCCCAGCTCATGCTGGTAGTAAAAGTGGGCTGGGCAGGTGCTCTGCTCTCCACACCTGTGCAGGCCACATCGCCCGCGTTGGCCCTTTGATCCCCCTTTTGCAGGTGAGGCGCAGGCCCGTGCTCTGACCGAGCAGAGCAGGCTGCAGACCGGGCGGGGGCCACCTGCCTCCAGAGCCCCGCTCCAGGCTGCAGGGCCTCGCCCGCCGCCCGTCCCCCGCACCTGTGTTCCGCCTTCCAACTTGAACTTCCCTCTCGTTCTGCTCTGTATTGGTGCTGGTCCCGACTTTCATTTCCTACACTATTCCTGTAGGAATAGTTTATGTTTCCTGAAGCGCCCTTTCCATCTCCTGTGACTCCCCAAAGAGAAACCGAACCCCTAATCTGGGCTTGGGTGGGACCTGGAGTGCCTGGAGTGCCTGCAAGCGGCAGGTCCGAGCCTCTGCAGGAGGCGGCTGGCCTGAGTGGGCGGTGTCCTAGCGTGCTGTCCCCCTCCTTGGCCCAGGTGAAGTGCTGCGGCTGGAGCAGCTTCCTGAACTGGACAGACAACACCGAGCTCATGAGCCGCGCCAACATCACCTTCCCCTGCTCCTGTGAGGAAAAGAACGTCAGCTTCCCGGTGGTGACCGGCTTCTGTGAGGTGCCCAGCAGTGGGCCCCAGAGCAGCAATGACCCCATGCAGTGGCCTGTGTACAAAGAGGTATGTGGACAGCGGGGCCAGGCTAGGGGGAGCCTGAGGGCGCAGATCCAGTCCCCCCGGCTCTCTGGGCTGCACAGGGCTCCGTCCTTCCTTCACTGAACTGTCCCTGCCTTTGGTTGCTTTCATCTGCACCTTCCTCTCTGCATCCATCCACTCACCTGTCAAGTGCAGACACCCCTCTCTCCAGAGACTGGTGCCTCAGATGGGGTGACGGGCCGTACTCTCCCCTTGCAGGGCTGCATGGAGAAGGTGCAGCAGTGGTTGCAGGACAACCTTGGCATCATCCTGGGCGTGTGTTTGGGCATCGCTGTCATCGAGGTCTGGAGCTCTCCCCTCCACCCCCACCCCTATTGTCACTTCTCTGAGGGTGGCCCAGGGTGGTGGTGGGTCAGCCCATCAGCTTCTGGAGGTCCCGTAGCAGGCCCGGTCCAGCCACCGTCCACCCAGGTCCCTCAGCTCCCAGGCTGGAGTTGAGGGTCCACCGGTTGGGTCAGACCTTGCGGGCTGACCGCACAGCGAGCTGCCCTCCGGCACCCCTGCCTCCCTCTGACCCCCGTCCTCTCCCTCCACAGCTCCTGGGGATGCTCCTGTCCATCTGCTTGTGCCGGCGCATCCACTCGGAAGACTACAGGAAGGTCCCCAGGAACTGAGGCAGCAGCTGTCCCCACTTCCCTGCCCGTACCCCCCGATTCTGGGTCCCTGCGGCTCTCCCTGGCTCCCTTGTCGGGATCTGCCTCCCACCTCCCTGCCAGGGCTCCTCACCCATCCTGGCCGGACTGGACGTGGGGTGCGTTCTGGTGCCTTGGACCCTTTTCTCTGCCTTCCTGCTGCTCGTCGGCCCACTGCCCACTGGACTGGATAGCCACTCAGAGAAAATGCAGCACCCCTGGGCGGTGGGTCGGGGCTCTGCCTGCCGCCTGGGCTGCATCTATTGTGCGGGGAAAGTATAGTAAAAACGAGGGTGGAGCAGGCCTGCTGCGCGGAACTGCCAGGGACTGCCCACTACATGGGTCAGTGGTTTGGCCCCTCTGACGCTGAGATCCTTGGTCTTCACAGTTTCTTGGAAGGGAGTGGGGAGGGGTGGTGACCTTGTGAGCAGCAGCTCTCCTTCCCAGCCTCACCCTGACAGCTCAGACCAGCCCGGCTGTGCAGTGGGTGTCATGCATGCCAAGGGAGGCTGTCTGCAGGCCGATGCCCACATTCACCCTGGGCATCCTGGGCATGGCACGAACTGACCTGGACTCCTCAGTGTCCAGGCTGTCCATGGAGCTGGGAGGGCAGAGAGCTTTCTCGGGGGTGCAGCCAGACCGGCCTGTGCTATACCCATGGAGAGTGGGTGGAACAGTTCTAGAAACCACACCTGATTCCGTGATTGACTATTAAAGAGAATTTGTAACAATCCAGCCTGTGGAGCTTGGCGACACTGATGCCTGGCCAGGGAGGCCCTGGGCAGAGCCGGGGTCCATGGGCCCGTCCCGGCCGCCCTGGGCCCTGACTCAGCCTGGTGTGCAGGAGACACGATGCCTGGTCTGTGTGTCTAAACAGATGCAGAGCGCATTGCTAGGTCTCTGTCTCCCAAACCAGGGTGCCAGCAGCCCCAGAAAGTCCACACAGACTGGCTGGTGAAGAGGTAGTGAAGCTGCTGGAGACACTCGGATTTTTCCTGAAGGATCTGTTTTCTGGAAAGGAAGGAGGTGGTTTTGTATTGAAGAAATGGGATGGGGTGGATGTACAGAGCTCAGGAGCCTTTACAGGTGCAACAGGAGACTTTGAAGGACACGTGAGCCTCCTCTAAGGGAGCACACAACTGCCCCCCTCAAGAAGCCCAGAGGAGGTGTTCCGGGCTGGGGGCTGGCTTAGGGCTTGTGGTCAGGAAGTCCCCTCTGGTGGCCGGTTAGGGGAGGTTGAGAGGAGCACACTGCTCCACCCTTTCCTGTCTCCCAACTTCTCCAGGAGGAAGGGTGGGGTGGGGCCTTACCCCCTCACTGTCCGTGGGTCCATCCGCAGTCCCCCAGGGACCTTGGACACCACTGTTTCAGAACTGCCCACTAGGTGGCGCTGCGCTCCAGTTCAAGAACCCAGTGGCGCCCACAGTCGTTCCTATTACTCCGGAGCCTCACCAGCCGCGGGCCTGTGGGTGTGCCACTCCAGGGGGAACCCTGGTGAAATGCAGGCTCCAGGGTTTAGTTCAGATGCCGGAAAGCTGGACTAGGGACAAGGCATCTGTATTTTAGCAGCCTGCTGGAGTGAGTCCTGAATCGGGGTGCTTCAGATTCTTAGACTCTGATAAGGTGTAGCCAGACATTCCCCAAAGAGAGATGGGGTGGGGTGGTGTTCTGGACAGCCTTGTCCTCAGCTAAGAAGGAGTAAGCACATTAAGGGTGACTTTTTTTTTTTTTTAAGACTTATTTATTTGTGCATACAGAGCTGGGGTTCAGTCCAGAGGTGCAGGGGGTGAGAGGATACATCAGAGACAGAGTGGGGAGCAGAACAGGAAGGTCACTGAAGTACACTGCTGAGGGGAGCAGCAGGTAGGTCGGGAGAGGTCTGCTGTGCCATGTAGTCACCTCTGGGGCGGGGGATGGAATGCGTACTGAAGTGGCTGCCGCTGACTTGCAACTCTGTGCTTTAACCCACTGAGCCACCAGGGAGGGGCCTAGTGTGATACTCTTGATGTGAGTCTAATTAATTTTTTGCAAGAAGCTTTTTTGATGGTTGGAATCCAAGGCAAGAATTTCAGGCCTGTGGGAGGTGCAGGGCAGAGCAGGGGGAGCAGGGTTTGGGGGTGCAGGCTCTTCTCTGCAGTAATCAGAGACCCTTCCCTAGAGCTCTTATGCTTAGAGAAATGGGGGCCCTGAGTGAAGCCATTCTAGCTGATTTTATGGGTAACCGGCCTTATCCCACAAAGGCAGTCCATATAATAAAATGTAAAACATAACAAGGTAAATATAAATTATGATCCAGTGTAGACTTGGGTAAAATAAACATAGCTGAGTTGCCTGGTCTGGCTATGGCAAAGGCATGCTGTGCACTCTGTGTGCACACAGCAGACATCACTAGTGGATTCCTGTTCTCCTTTGCTTAGTCCAAATACAACCTGGCCCTGGGGCTGGCTGGTGGTTATCACTCATTGCAGCCCCAGAATTCTCAGCTCACCATTATCAATCAGTCTGATTGCAATGCAGAAATGAAAGCAGTTGCCAGCCTTGAGCTCTGGTTGTTTTGTTAAACTGTATGTGTTTGTGTCTGAGCTTCCTGGTGGCCAAAGCAAAAAGGGAAATCTAGCTCTCATTTCCCAGGGCTTCTCCAGGTCTCACTACTAGAAAGAATGTGGCTGGTTGGAATTTAGAGTCCAAGAACAACCTCATGATGTCCCTTCATGACTAGGGAGTAAAGCACAGATGGACCTACCTAATGCCTGCCCGTGTGCTGACACTAGGCACAGAAGCTATGCTTCTAGAAGACCCTTGGAGTGTATGAGAAGCAACTGGGTGACAGTGCTTGGGTGACAATGCTTGTCTGTCCTGCTGGTACATGCTAACTGACGGACTCACTACAATCCTGGGGGTGCTTGTTCATTATCATCCCCATTTTACAGATAAAGACAATGAAAGACAAGAAACTGAATAATTCCCTCAGGATCCTGCTGCTGCTAAGGAAAGCCTCATCCTGGCTGTATGTGAAGGAGATACCATCCAGGCAAGCCAGAGCTGTCTTGTCTGCTCTGCTCTCGAGGGACCCACATGTCACCTCCTCCTGGGGCCCCTGGCTGCGGGCTGGGGCCTGGGGCTCTCTTCTGGGGCTTCCTCTGGACGAGCAGCCACGCAAGGGTAGGAGCAGAGTCTGATCCAAGTCGGAGGTGGCTTGGTGCCCACACAGAGACTTCCACATCACGAGGTCTCAGGGTGTCCGATAGGCCCAGCTCCTGCCCTGCCTGGCTGTGGGTTGGGCAGGCCTGAAGTGGAATGGAGGCTGCTCCGTAGCACAGGATTTGGGAAAGCCTTCACTCCCGAGGCCGGACTTTCTCCACGGGAATGCTGGGAGGTTGACAAGGTCATGGAGGCCCAGGCTGCTGCCCCCCCCCCCCCGAGGCCCCCGAGCCAGAGTGAACGACTTGCCTTGGCCTACGCCTACATCAAGATGGCGGGACTTCCTGTCCCTCTGTGATGCCTACAGGCAGGAGCCCCTGCGTGAGAGCATGAGGGGATCTGGGCGACCAGACCGGGCCTCCACCAAGGTGAGCTGACAGGGTTCCTTGGAGTTGGGGGTGACCCTCAGGGTGGGGCCAGTAATCAGATGGGCTTAGAGAGAATGGAGGTGCAGGAAGCCAAGAGCCCTCTCCTGGGAGAGCAGCAGACGTTAGCTGGCCGAGAATGACTCTAATGTCAGATTCAGGGCTCTGGGGCCGACGCTGGGTGCTTTAAGAGGTGGGGGGTCAAGAGCAACCTGTGGGAGCCACTGTCCAGCGGCCTGCTGTCCTCCTATGTAAACAGGAGCAGCGGGGTGGGGAGGGGCGTCAGTGCTGATCCCTCTGTGGCCTTGACTGCTGCCCTCTCTGATGGCGGGTGGCTAGGGGAGGGCAGGCTTGAACATTCTTCCTGGCCTGGCCTGGGGGCCTCCCACCAAGCACCTGACCACACCCCCAAACGTGGCTCCTAGCTGTTCCAGCCCCACCCAAGGGTGCCCCAGGGGGCAAGTTCCCTGGCTGAGGAGCAGCAGGATGAAGGGGACGAGCACTGATGTTGGGACATCCGGCCGCCAGGTCCTGTCTCGGACCAGGGCTGCTGCTACGTCTCCCCTGCAGAGACACTGTACCCCCCCTGCCTGGCAAACCTCTGGTTGTTCTCTGGGGTCTTCGGAACCATTGAGCTGCTGCAAGCTGCCCAGGACCAGCCTGGGAACAGGCTGCATTGCAAGCCCGTTCATTTATTCAGTCAATGAATGCTAAATGAGCACCTACTATGTGCAGGCACTGTGCTAAGCGCCTGACAACATGCAGTGACAAAACAAGCCCCGGCTTACCACCGTTTTCTGGTGAATGGGAGCTCTGCGCTCTCGCGGGCACACCCTGCGGGCACGCACGTGGCCCAGCGCTGTCCATACTGAGGGCTGTGCAGGACGCCCAGGCCCATGCGAGGCTGCAGGCATCCTGTGGAAGGAAGTAGAATAATGAACAGTGAAGGGAACAAACAGGAAAGGGGGTGGAAGCACTCCTCGCTCGGCCCCCTTCCCCTCCGGCCAGACCCCACAGGCGGGGGCCATCTTTCCGCCACCCCCTCCCAGCTGAATCCAATCCAACCCAGTCCGAGCAGCCTGCTCCTGCCCCTCGCTGCCTCACCGTGATGACTCATTCCCAGCGTCAGGTGGCGCCCAAACGTGGTCAGGTGTGTGAGGAGCAGGTTAGTGCCACCCCTTTCCAAGGCTGGGCCGGGGTTACAGTGGGTTCCCTCCAGGCCTACAGAGTGGGTCCCGCCCCCCACAAAGGAAGACAGGCCTGACAGCTTAGGCACCTGCAGGGAAGGAGGTGCAGGGGCTCCAAGAGGCTGGGACGGGGGGCCTAGGCGGAGCCAGGGCCCCGGTCCCTGCCAGTGGGCGGAGCCTCAGCCTCTGGTGAAGGTGCCAGGTAGGAGGCTCAAGAGGACGTCTGAGCTGCAGCAGCCGCTCCCGCCCCTGGCTGCTCCTCTGAAGTCATTTCCCCACACCTGCCTCCTGGGCTGGAGGAATGTCAGGCCCAGAGCCAAGCTCTGCCCCCGGTCCCCCCACCCCTCACCTCAGATGCCTTAAGCAGTGCCCTGGGGAACAGGAGCGGGCTTCCTGCAGGATGCTGGGGGCGTGAGTGGGGGAGGTGGGCTCCAGGAACAGCTGGGAGTGCAGAGGGCCTGAGGAGGCGGGTGGGTGGAAAGGGAGCTGGAGAGTCCCCAACCTTCTGGAGGGGTGCTCTAGGCCTGGAGGGAGTGATGGTGGCAGCTGACAGGAGGAAGGGGTCTACCCGCTGCCCCCGAATCCCAACTTGGGGGTCTCTGGGCTGTGAGCACATAGCTATCCTCTTGGTCCTGGCTCGTGGGGGACTCAGAACCATGGGGACCCCTTGTCCTGGGGTCTCATAGGACGGAAGGGGAGGAGGGCTTCCCCACAGGGATAGGCTCCCTCTTGTGGGAGCGCACCAAGAGGAGGGTGTCCAGGCTGCAGGGTGGGTGTGAGAACAGCTTGGGGGTAGGGCCCTGCCAGATCAGAGAACAAGCTGGAATAAAATCCGGGCCAGCACAGTAGGGTAAGGCCAGGCTGGCGCAATAGCACAGACCGGCAGGCCACCAAGAGGAAGGGCCGGAGGCCTCTCAGTCATCATCATCACATAGCTACCGCTGACTTAGTGTTAACGCTTAACCCTCATCCTCCGGCC